GGATAAGGAAAGCAATATGTCGGAACCTCCACTCAAACTCCCGGTAAGGAACCGATTGCCTGGAACCTTTCCTGATTGCTTACCTAGTATTGCTCTCGAGTAGTCATCTTCAACGGTTGGAGTTGGGTCTCCAGTCACCAAGAAGTGATGAACCATCCAAATGCAAGGGTTTGCATTCCACTTCTGCACCAGGGGACAAATCCTACAAGAGAAGATGCCACATATGCATGGGGGGAAAAGCAGTGAAAATACTACTTAAGCAAGGGGAGCAAGTAAGGAAAGTGAAAATGATACATTGAAGCATGTGGAGACAAGCGCAACAAACGCGTGCTGATTCATCCCTGACAAAACTGAAGATCACTTGCCACATGAAGCTCCTCATGGTTCAATTTCATTCAAGATCAGGCCTCGAAGGTCTTTGAAGAAATCACAAGTCCGATTCAAGATCAAGTGTCCACCACTTTTGAATCAAATTCCGCTCCAGATAAAAGGAGTAAATTCCGATCTTCGATGCTAGTCTAGCAGAAAGTCCTACAACCCAGTTCAAGAAAAAGGCTGTGGAAAGTTAACAATAAGTAATCTTACTAAGAGACTAAAGCAGAACAATCAACGATCAACCTAAATGATTTGAAATCAGGGGGAGATACTCATCAGGGGGAGCATCCAAGACATATCAAGATTTTAACGAGTCAATCGAAGACTTGTGGCCATCCAAGGGGGAGTGTTGTAAATATTATATGGATGGTCCACATGAATAGTTTGTTACTATTTATGCACAGTATTTTCACTATTCATTTGTGGAAAATTTGTAAAGTGAATAGTGCTTTCTTTTTCAATTTATATAAAGGAAGAAGAGGAGATGAAGTGAGAAGAGTTTACGGGAAAGGAAGAGAGGAAGGAAGGAAGAGGAAGAGAGAGAAGGAAGAGGAAGAGAGAGAATAGAGGAAGATAAGAGGAGATAATAGAGAGAGTTATCTTTGTACTCCTATTATTCTAAATTATAATGAAAGCACCACTGCTGCCCCGAGGACGTACTCCAGTCACACTGACTGTAGAGGAACCTCGTAAATTTTGTGTCTTGTTTCATTTATTCCACTGCATCCACAGTCGATTTTACAACAAAAAAAACATTAATGGTTATGTATGGACTAGGAAGTGTATGATGTCAATTGTGTTTCGAATTTATATAATTGGAAATTTTCGCTTGTCAAGATTGGTTGATGACTCCTCTTGCATAATCCTATATGATTGAAAAATGGGACACTTTATCGGTTTGGTTTGGAGTGAGGTGAGAGAGGGTCCTTAAAGTTTTAGTCAAGTGCCATATCGATTACGGTGTTGAAGCAATTTCAACGGTGTGGGTCCCAAATCAAGCATATATGGTAGATAAATTTTTAGTTGTGACGCGAACACTGATAGTGTACCACATGTTTTTATGCAAGTGATGAAAATTTTTAATTTTTAAATTATTAACCTTTTAATACATATAACTTACCATTTATATAGGAATACATGATGTACCATCTTGTATGACGGTCACATTGAAAAATCCCTCTATATGATATATCAAGGAAGGAGAAAGGAGTGCATGTTTGCTCACCACTTTCAAGGAGTAGTAATGCTCACCACTTAGTTTATTATCATTGCATAAATTTAAATTTTAAGATTTATATCTATCCACTATATTAATTTCTAAATTTAAATTCATGCAATAATAATAGAGAAAGTAACGAGTATCACCATCAGATGGTGAGCAAAATATTCACTGTATCCAAGTGGGAGCATGTATCTTTACTCCAAGTAGAAAGGTCCAGATTCAACTTCCATGAGTTTGATATACAATATGGCAGGTTTACATTGGTATAAAATATCGTTTATATCAACAACAAAAAAAAAAGTTTTGATCATTGAATAACAAATTATTATTTATTTATTTATTTAATTTTCTTTTCTGGAAAGCATGTCTTTACTGTAAGTACAGGTTACAATCAGTAATCTTGCGGCTCTTGAACAGTTTTTGTTAAGACCCAATCCTAATTTTATTTTATTTATTTCTACACAAATCTTGAAATGACCAAAATACCCTTTACAGTGGTAAGTGCTGACCTGAACAATTATTGCAGAACTTGAATATACAAATAAATGTCGAATTTGATACAAAATTATTTTACATGCCTTGATCCATTATTTTAATATGACACAAAATCGAAGACGATGACGTCTTAAGATTTATATAACCGACTCCACTTAGTGGGATAAAGCTTTGTTGTTATTGTTGTACTATTACTCTCCTCATACTCACTCTCATACAAACAGCGTGCTCTAATTAATCTGTCCCCTAAGCATCAACCACGACTATTTCATGTAAAATGTGTGCTTCAAAATAAATTATTTTGCAGCTTCTATATATTCAGTTGCATCAATTTGATGTTCATGGATTTGTGTATGTTGCTCATGTATTTGTAAGTCTAAAGGCAAAGAAGAGTGGTTGTGTAGTGTAATCGAATTATGACCATTCATGATGTGTTCTCATATTTCTTTCTTGTGGAATATAATCTTTGCTGGTGAAGCTTGTTGCACATTTTATCAACTGCATGTATATACCAAAATCACCGATGCATTCCCTATGCAATTGTACCTAGATTATCACAAGTTTCACTTTTAGGGCACATTTTATGTAAGATTGGCTTGACCTGGAGTATTTATTGGGACGGATTTGGATTGGAATTTGACTTGGGTCGAGTAATGGCCTAAAATAAGCCTACACAGTGAAGGTATAGTCTCAATTTATTAAGTTGTTAATTAAACCCATGTTTTGGGCTTAAATAGCAATTTTATAGAAATTGGTTAGAATGATGGGACTTGGATCCTCTCCTGAGCCCAAGGAGAGGATCTGACCAAAGGACTTGGGCCTTTGGATGAAAATCCAACGGCTATAATTATTATAACTTTAAAGAGACCTTCCTGTTTGTAACCGTTGAATTTTCATCCAACGGCCCAAATTATTTGATCAGGAGGATCCTCTCCTTGCGTTCAGGAGAGGATCCAAGTCCAGAATGATGATAATCAATGCTCAACTGCGAGTTGATCAAAATTAAATATTGACAATATAACAATTACAACACCATAAAAACTAATCATTTTGGTAATTAGTCTTAAAAATGATTATTTTGGCTAATTTTCTAACTTTTAAGTCACTTTAACTCTGTGCTCAATAATGAGATCCAAAGTCGAGTCGGCTGCCTGTCGGATTTGAGCAATGACATTTTAATCATACTTGCGTCGTTCGTTAATGATTATATGAACTTTATTTGTTTCTTCTGACCAGAAGAAGTGCACATTTCAAACTGCTCGAAACTCTCACCAAATTGAATACCTACTACCTAGAGCTGAAGAAAACTAGCACAAACCACCGAACCAAACATCGTCCATAAAGTGCTCCACCGCCATCCTTATCATGAAGGAGGAAAATAAAAGAGAGACTAGACCTAGTGAATTCTTCTGCAAATACTGGTTCATTGGTAAACAGGTACGTATATACTCGCCTCCTTAATTTGCGATCTGCAACTTCGCATTTCATTTTTTATTATCTTCTTGCAGCCTACAGAAAAATAGGGCTTTTGTGGCAACATACATTCGTCACATAAATATAAAAATTCATCACATTTGACGATATGTGACAAAATCCTAACGTCACAATTATTGTCACCTACACAACGTCACTGATAATTTACATGACAAATATTAGATTCACCACATATTTTCCTATTATGTGATGTTATTTTCATCACATATTAAGATTTATAAGTGATGAAATAAGTGTCACAAAATAAAAAAGTCAATGACCAATGCTTTTCGTCACATATCAGACTTATAAGTGATGATTTTATCGCCACCCAATATGATCCCAGATTGATATAATTTACACTAAGACCATCTCCAATGGTTGGGCTAAAAGTCAAATATTTTAGCCCGGAAGATTTAGCTTTTAGCCCAGAAGTAGCTTTTCTGCTCCAACCGTTCTGGCCTAAAATTTTAGCCCGGGATTATTAAAAAATGAACTTAGGTGATTTTTTTTTCTTAAATTAAATTTAAAAAAAATAAATAAATATGTAGACTATCGTAAATTAATTTTATGAACATTTTAATCTAAAAAAATTTAAATTCCGATAAATATTGAAAAATAACTAAATTTTACGACCTCTAATATGCTCTCTTGCCATGTTGAACAATTTGGAAATGGAAAGAAATGGTAGAAAGATAAATTGGAAGAATTGTAGGAGAAAATTGAGTTTTGTGTGAATGTTTGAACAAATACATAGGTATTTATAGAGTTTTTGGGCGAATTTTGAGTTAAATAATTTTTTTAATTATTTTAGCGTTTGATTTAAATTTGGGCCGTTAGATCTTTTTTTTACAATTAGATTTGATTATATTCGATTTCAGCCGTTGGATTCAATAATATATAAATATAAAAACAAAAAAAAATTTGAATCTAGGTCGTTGGATTAACCAACGACCTGATGATCACAATCGTTGGATGGAAGAAGTCGTTGGGCTCATGCGGAATGTGGCCGACAGGCTCACGTGGGTGGGTCCCTAGCGGTCGGAAGCCTCGCGTGTTAGGCGCGTTGGGCGATTCAGTGGGTTGCGTTTGGCGCCCAAACGCTGAAATGCAATCCCTTCGGTGGGGCCCACACCAACTTTTGGGCTAAATTTTGGGCGGAATCTGGCCTCAGTTTCCCATTTAGCTTTTAGCCCAAAGTTTCCCCTTGGGTTGGATTGGGTTTGGGGGGGGGGGGGAATTTAGTATTTAGCCCACCATTGGAGATGGTCTAAATCATGCTGAAATCGTCACATATTCTATTGATACGTGGCGCAACTTATGTCTCGCATATGTTAAAATCAAATACCTATTTAAGAATAATATGTGACAAATTAATTACTTGTTCCCGCTTCGTAATCTAGAATTGTAATTCATAACATAAGGTAATACTCCGCACTTTCATTAGTCAACAATTAAAACACATACTTCAGTCGAATACATTAACCAAGCGTACACCCCCAAAATAACATAAACATCCCAAAATCAATCTAATTCATGGTGACCTATCTCAATAATAGCAAATTATCATGAAGGGCACCAACGTCTATACATAAACAGCTTGAGGTATTAACCAAAAAAAAAAAAAAATGCTAAGACACATTGAGGTGCTAACCAAAGAGGTCTACCATGTGCATGCTTCAAGCTCAGCCATGATTCCAAACTCATCATATAAAGACACTTGCATGAAATCTAATGGAGTACCCTAGGTGCTTCTTGGAAGCTACTCCCTAACTTCCTCTTTCTTTTTCTTGATGTTATCCTTAATAAAATAGAAATATATCAGTTTTATATGTTTCGACCAGATCAGCTACAATATGCTTAAGAAAACACAACTTAACCATTTGTATGTGATCCTTAACGGATGTAAAAAGAAAATCACCAGGTACGTATAACCTGTCTTCACATATTATTTTGTAGTTTCTGTTTGAACGTGGGTTAAATTGAACTAGGCACTAAAAGTTTTTCTCAAAAAGTAACAAGAAGCGTCAATAGCATAAGCATTTACTGGTGGGACAAACAAAATGAAGAAAAACATAAACTAATTAAGAACACAATTGTAATTTATTTCATAAAGGCCGACTCTAAACCTTTTAGCTTCTAGCTAGTTATATCAAGTTTTTTTTTTTTTTTGTCTTTTTTCTTCCAAAAGTTCTAGCTAGTCATTTCAAGGGAGTTGCAAGTTAATCTCCAACTTCCTTGAAATGACAAAAATGATATGCCCGTGAAGTGAATAACTTAAATATTTGTCTCGAGCAACATCATTGATCCATTGGCCGTTCTTGTCTTTGTGGAGAGCCCCCAATTGTCAATGACATATAATGGAGATCATGTTCAATAATGCAGAAACATATATTAGAATACATAAACTGCATAATGAGTATTATAAGAAATTTAATTTCATTACCTCAGGAGCCTTCCTAGCATGTTGGATGAATAGCCTTGCCCTTCCCTTGTGGTGATACTTTTGTTTCTTCCAATTATCAGCATTTTGCTTTGAAAGCTCTTACATTAACTGTGGTATATGACATACAAAAGAAGATTTAGTTAACTAAAAATGTGTACAATTTGGAAAGTTCCAAAATCCCATACTAGTAATATATAATGTCACATATTTCAGTTGTACATATTCATTCAAATTTTCATAAACACTATAAAATGCTTTCAGCTCTAGTACTCACTCAAATTTTACCAATTTGAAATGCATAATTAAAAGCGATGAGAAAGCATAACGAATGCAACCAATATATGCATATGGTTATGCCTAATGTTAACAAAATACATGTAAAGCACCTTTATATTACCATACGGTAACATTATATAGATTATTAGAGCTTTATCACAAAATTCTCTCTTAATAAAAAATTGTTGTTCAACTATATAAGAGAATGTTGGTATCTAACTTGGACTTATACTAGGAAATATTATATAGAATACATACCAAAAAAAGTGTAGTAGTGTAAACATTATCGCATAACCAGTCCCAATGACTCTTTGGTCTCCCATTCCACATTAGATCATTTGGAAGTTTAGCTCATCCTCTCACAGGTGTTTCACACATGACCAGTAGTGCCGATGTAACCGGTGCCTAAACTGAGAGTACAACTTCGCCATCTTCTTTTCAATGTATTCAATCATCTTTCTATGGAATAGGTCCACTACAAATAATACGTATTATTGAACACAAATATATGCAAGTGAGTGTTTGAAATTACTATATATAAATTGAATTAAATTCAGACTCACAAGCAACTTGAAAGGTAAATCTGCATCAGAGCTTGGGCACCTTCAATCCTAAAAATCATGAAAGTATAAGAATTTCATATATGTATATACAAAAGTAAATTTGCATCAAAGCATAATTAGATGGGAGCATAATATAGAAATTTTAAAAGCTGACTTATCAAATTATAGACGTAAAATCAATTTACTAGTTTTAGCTTCCTATCCCCCCAACAAAAGATTTTCCATGTATCAAATCACAGCTTCCTTATTCCCTAATTATTAACCTACTTATTAGAGTACTGGCATAACACATTTCTGCAACAACATTCATCATAACAAGAGCACCACCAAACTGGGAAGCCAAAAATGTTTACTTGTTATAATTCCAAGTCAACAAAATGATTTAGTATCAATTCAATTGTTGAACCATAGGATTTTCTAGTATTAATCTAGCGCCTTTTAAGGCTGACCCAATTAAACACCAAACTTATACATCATTATATATCAATAGATGGTGCCTTTGTCTTTGATATTTTTTCACAAGATCATATTCTAAACTACAGAAAGGGAAATTCGATCTTAAAGTGCAAATGGATGAGCACACTACCTTACTCAACTTGCATACCTCACATTTGGTCTATGGTATTTGGTGACAAGGATTTGATATGATAATAGACGGATAAATTAACTAGTGTAAACCCATAATTAGTCTGTATTTAAAAAAAAAAAAAAAGCACATCAGAATTACAAAGGGTTGAGTGTATGTATGAAGGTGTACACCAAATTTCTTAACATTCATTCAAAAAGTTCTATAGTTCCCATGTCCATTTGCTCATTGCTTCTATTGGTCGCCACTAGCCGTGACCAAAAAAAGGAAGGTAAAGAAATAGTAACAAATTAAAACTATAGTTTCACATTCTATGGACCTGGGTAAAACTGAAGAACGTCTCGCATACTAAACTGACTCCTACAAATTGATCTACCACATCGCTCTTCCACAAAATAAATACACAATCACAATAAATTGGTTCGTTTTATTCTTTCTACAAATTCACCCCATTTTTCATCATTGATCTTCAAAAGAAAGAGAAAATTGATAACTGGATGTCTAAGCTTGGCAACCAAAGAACTGATTGAAGAAGAAAATCCAAAAAAAATTAAAGAAATATAGGGAAAGAAATAGATACCTTGTTGCGACTGAAGAACTCGATAAAAAAACCCAATTTCTCTTTCCCCAATTTGGGTCTTGTTATGTCAGAGAGAGGAGAGATTTATAAAATGAGCAGCAGGGGGTGAGAGGGTGGCCAAGGTAGGGAGACGAAGGAGAGGTGGTGGTCGCGTTGTTGGCAACCACCATGTGGTTGGTTGTCGGAGTCAGGGTGAGAGAGTTAAGAAAGGGAAGCTGAAGATAGCAGGCATGAGTGAGAACAGAAGGAATTAGGTTTTACAATTGGAGTGGTTTGTCTGCCCTCCCATTTCCATACTCTTCCCATCCCTTTCTGTTTGTGTGGTCACGGTTAAGCCACGTTAACATTTTATATTGATTTTTTTTATAAAAATAATAAAACAAAAAGTAATAGGAGTATAAAATGTTGACGTGGCTTAACCGTGACCACACAAAACAGGAGGGAATGGGAAGAGTATGGAAATGGGAGGGCAGACAATCCACCTCCTTTACAATTTGGGGTTCTAATGTTATTCCTTCGGTATTTTTTTATTTGGCTAAATAGTCAAAATGGTCTCTAAGATTTGCATAATTAATAGAAATGGTCTTTGAAATTGAAAATTAATAGAAATGGTCCCTGAGATTGTCCACCATCCATGATTTTAGTCATTCCGTTAAAAACTCTTTAGGCAATTTTCAAAGCTTCGTAACTCAACCGATTCTTAATCAAATTCTCTCCCTTCTTCTTTTCATCCTCTTTCATCTCCTCATCTCATATTCTCTATTTTGTCTTTCTCTTTCTATATAAACTAATATAAAATGTTGACGTGGCGTAACCGTGACCGTTCAAATAGGAGAGGAGGGAATATGAGGGAAAAAAAGGGAAGAGAATCATACTCTCCAAATATGTCTTGCACCAGTTGTGCCCGTACCAAACAGCATAAATTTGGAAATAAAGTAAAAAAGAAAAGAAAAATACTTGTTGGGCATGTTGATGCCCACATGGATAAGATGGGAATGGCATGTTGTTGGCCCTAAAGTTTTGAGAAGGTTTTTGTGGAGTTTGTTTGACCGATGGTCTGGTACTCAAGTGGTTGGACTTGTGACCTCTTAAGTAATAGTTGCTGAAGTTTCTAACATTGTGTTTCACTTGTTTGTTGCCGTAGTTGAGATATGGGAGTTTCTGTTGGCTATCCCATATCGGTGGAGGAAGAAAAATAATGAGTTTTGTTTGTACCATACTTGACCAATCTCGAAACTACCGAGCACCGGTCAACGTTATACCGTCAAGGACCCAGAAGAGTTTCCTTCCAACCAGGAGGCCAATCACAGTGCGACACGTGTCGACATCAGAAGCCAATCACAGCACGACATGTGTCAACATCAGAAGCCAATCACAACACGACACGTGTCAATGTCAGAACAAAGCTAGAAACTCTTCTATAAAAGGAGATCATTCTCCCACAATATTGCCTAATGTCATTTGTACTAAATCATTCACTTGTACTCACTAAAGGAGAGCTTGAACCTATGTACTTGTGTAAACCCTTTACAATTAATGAGAACTCCTCTACTCCATGGACATAGCCAATCTGAGCGAACCACATACATCTTGTGTTTGCTTCCCTGTCTCTATCCATTTACATACTTATCCACACATGTGACCGGAGCAATCTAGCGAAGGTCACAAACTTAACACTTTATGTTGTACCAAAGTCTCATCTGGTTTTGTGCATCAACATTTGGCGCCGTCTGTGGGAAACGACACAAAAAACTATATCGGTTCTTTTTCATTTTTTCAGCTCCACCGTAAAATCTGCAAAATCTACAAAATCAACACTGCAAAATCTGCAGAAAACCTCCTTGAGCTTTTCCAGAAAATCCCCACAAACACAAAAACCCAATAAACCAGTCCCCTACAAACACAAAATCAGCTGACTCACTTCCTGCTTCAGTCTCATCTCTCCCTCTCTCTACTTTCTCTCTCATCTGCATACTTGCAACAAATAAGCTTGTTAATAGAGTCTCATATCTAATCTAGACGACGTTGTTTCCCTCTCATCCCTCCCTCTCTCTCTAAATGCACGTTTTCTCTCCTGGTCTTACCCACACAGACCCCCAACATAATGTTTGCAGCGGCGCCCTCCTCCGCCTACCTCAACCCCAAGCCCACGGTGCTCCCCTCCAAAGCTCTTGCAGCCGCCTCCACCATCATCCTCATCTTAAATTTACGATCTTTTTCCGAGAACGGAAATTCCGGCGGTGGCGGAGGTGGAAGGGGAGATGGGTTCGGCGGCGGTGAAGATGGGTTTGGTGGGTTTTTGAAGAGGCTGTTGTTTGGGTCACAAACGGTCGTTGCAGACGAGCCTCAGTCTCAAGAGTGGGACTCGCATGGGTTACCGGCCAACATTGTTGTCGAACTCAACAAGCTTGGTGGGTTCAAGAAATACAAGGTCTCCGAGATCTTGTTCTTCGATCGGCAGCTATAGAGCATCGTCGGCACCAAAGACTCATTTTTCGAAATGGTATCCCTGAGACCCGATGACGTCTACACCAAAGCCAAGTTGCAGAAGGAGCTAGAAACCTTAGCCAACCGCGGGATGTTCGAGAAGGTCGGGCGGGGTACTCACGCCAGCCCAGGTGGGAGAGATTCTCCTAAAAGAACAGAGGGGATGCTGACGTGGCAATGCAGGAGGTGTTGGCGATGCAGGACAGAATTAATTTGGCGATGCAGTCTTCTCTTCTCTTCTGACACTAATGTCTTCAAATTCCAGTCTCATAAGAGAAACACAGAGAGACGGATGAGAGATAGCACTTTCCGACGGCGATCGGCGATGAGCTGCTCTGTTGATAAGTTGTTCTAAGTTAGAGGCAAACATTGATACATTGAGGGATATTGATCAAGGAGCAGGAGGAGGACGATCTCTCTTGGCCGTTCTGATTAATTTCTCTGAGAATTCAATCGAGAGATCTTTTGAGATGGAAGAGCAGACCACACAGGTATGATGTAATGTTCAGCTCGCCCCCTCGCTCGCTAATCCTTGGCCTGGCTCGACCCGAGTCGGGCACAATGACTCGGTGGCGCACTACCACTCTTCGTCTCCGAACATGGACTCTTCGAGCTCTGACCCGCTCCATGACCCGGTTCACGTTCGCGATGGTTACTTATCTGACGACCCCGCCCACACCTCCTCCAGCCTGGTACGTATACATTCCTTGCCTTGTTTTTCTTTTACATTTTTGTGTGCATCACCATCGATCATGGCTTCAAACCAAGACCAGCCATGACTGTTAGAAAAAAGTAGAATGATGTCTGGAGAAAAGCAGAGACAGATGTGCAAAGCAAAAGTGAAAAGAAAAAGGAAAAGAGAAAGGAAGAAAAGCAAAAGATCTTCCTATTATTATGATTCCTTATGTCTGCAAGATGAAGAGACAGAGAGAGTGCAGCAGAAAAACACAAGCAAAAGCAAGGAATAAACACACATACTGCAAAAGCAAGGAATAAACACCCCACCAGAATGATGTGGTTTGCTTTCCTTATTTTTGAATGATGTAATTTATTTTTCGGATCTTTCGGAGATGTCTGTATAAACCCCATCAGAGGGTAATAATAATAAAAATAAAATAAAAAAATAAAAAAGGGCAAAGCCCAAAATAAATGGGTTGGAATGTTGTGTGGAGGGCGAAGGCCCATAAGCCCAAAATAGCACCAACGAGGTTATCAAAAGTACGCCCAGTACTCCAAAATTATTCGGCAACCTGCCGCTATTATCACCAACCATGTGACCAAAAGTACGCCCAGTACTCCAAAATTATTCGGCAACCTGCCGCTATTACCACTAACCAACCACCAACCAGGTGATCAAAAGTACGCCCAATACTCCAAAATTATTCAGCAACCTGCCGCTATTACCACCAACCAGGTGATCAAAAGTACGCCCAGTACTCCAAAATTATTCGGCAACCTACCGCTATTACCACCAACCAGGTGATCAAAAGTACGCTCAGTACTCCAAAATTATTCGGCAACCTGCCGCTATTACCACCAACCAGGTGATCAAAAGTACGCCCAGTACTTCAAATTATACATGAGCATCACTTATGTCAATTAATCATACATAAACATTCATGAGCATCACTCATGTCAATCATACATAAACATTCATGACCATCATTCATGTCAACATTCATGAGCATCACTCATGTCAACATCCATGAGCATCACACATGTCAATCAACATAAACATTCATGAGCATCACTCATGTTAATCAGCTTCAAAAGCTTCATTTACAGAGCTCTAACTTCAAAAGCTTCATTTGCAGATCTCTAGCTTCAAAAGCTTCATTTACAGAGCTCTAGCTTCAAAAGCTTCATTTACAAAAGCGCCAGCTTCGAAAGCTTCATTTACAGAGCTCTAGCTTCAAAAGCTTCATTTACAGAACTCTAGCTTCAAAAACTTCATTTACAGAACTCTAGCTTCAAAAGCTTCATTTACAGAGCTCTAGCTTCAAAATCTTCATTTACAAAAGCTCCAGCTTCGAAAGCTTCATTTACAGAGCTCTAGCTTCAAAAGCTTCATTTATAGAACTCTAACTTCGAAAGCACATTTACAGAGCTCTAGTAACAAAAGCTTCAACTCCAAAGCTTCACCTACAAAGCTTCAACTCCAAAGCTTCACCTACAAAAGCTTGACCCACAAAAGCTTGACCCACAAAAGCTTCACCTACAAAAGCTTCACACACTTTTGATCAAGATAGTGTGAAGTAAAATCAATTCATGGTATCCAACAAAGCTTCAACCTCAAAGCTTCAACACCAAAGCTTCACCTACAAAGCTTAAAATATATATATTCAAAAATTCAAAAATTCAAAAATTCAGAAATTTGAAAATTTGGAAATTCAAAAATTCAAAAAATTCAAAAAATAAAATAAAATAAAAATTTGCCTAGGCCTCCTCTTCTTTGGGCCTAACAACTTTCATAACAAATATATGAAGGGGGAGTTTTGGGCTACCACTTAGAAAGGAAAATGGTGAAGTTTTGTTACTTTAGAAGCTTGGCTACTAGCAAGACACCTCTTTCGTCAACTCCCTCGACTGGAGACTTGGGAGACTCCTACCATATGCTACTGCACCTTGATACTCGGAAGTCTCACGACCACTCAGTGACTTGGATTTTTCAAGTCTCCAACTGAGAAGTTTTCCTCACTTGGGAAATTAAGAGAGCAATACCTCAACATACATGCTTCACTCACAAAGCTTCAACATACAAGTT